CATGACAGAAAGTTAAAAAAAGGGGGGGGTGTATGGTTAAGGTGGTTGGTATTTTTGTTTTTAAAGTTTGAAAGAGGGGAAGGTACCCAGGGATTGGCAGGACATGTATAGTTCTTTTATATAAAAGGGGGGGGGACAAAGAGATTTTAAAATTATAGGGGAATAAGTTTATGGTATACCCGGAAAAGTTAAGGAGGGTTTTAGAGTTGGTAAGGGATGTGTAGGGCAAGTGTTTACATTGAAGCACATAGTGAACAGTATTTTGATAAAGGTAGGGGGTTTTCATTACTTTAGGGGATTTAGAAAAGGGATATGTAGAGTGGATAGGGGGGGCGTGTGCAATTTGCAAGAAGGAATAGGTAGTAAGTTCTAAAAGCTGTAAAGAGTTTTTTTTGAGGGTAGTGAGGCCAGGTTTTTGGTGTGTAGGGAGAGGGGATTACTTCCAAAGGGGAGGTTCTTAAAAGGATGTGTAAGCCCCCATGGTTGTTTAAATATTTATAGATTTTTTTTTTTTTTTTTCAACAACCGGCCATCTCCCATCGAGGCTGGGGACCCCAAAAAAAAAAGAAAATCCCCAAAAAGAAAAATCTTTTTTTCATCATCAACACTTTTACCTCATCACACATAATCACTGTTTTTGCAGGTTCAGACCCAAAAATTAGAACATAACATATAAAGATACACAAATACCCCCTCCAAACGCCAAAAATCCCAAACCCCCCCCCTTTTTAAAAAGCAGGATTGTATTCCTTTTTTAGGACTCGAGTCCAGCTATTTAAAAATAAAACTGGTTTCCCTGAATCCTTTCACTAAATATTACCCTGCTCACACTTCAACAGTTCGTCAGGTCCCAAATACCATTCGTCTCCATTCACTCCTATCTTACACACTCACGCATGCTTGCTGGAAGTCCAGGCCCCTCGCCTGCAAAAACCTCCTTTAACATTACCTCTCCCTCCAACCTTTTCAAGGACAACCCCTGCCCCACCTTCCTTCCCCTACAGATTTATATGCTCTCCATGTCATTCTACTTTGATCCATTCTCTCTAAATGACCAAACCACCTCAACAACCCCTCTTCTGCCCTCTGACTAATACTTTTATTAACTCCACACCTTCTCCTAATTTCCACACTCCGAATTTTCTGCATAGTATTTACACCACGCATTGCCCTTAGGACATCTCCACTGCCTCCAACCGCCTCCTCGCTGCAGCATTTACAGTCCAAGCTTCACATACCCATATAAGAGTGTTGGTACTACTATACTTTCATACATTCCCTTCTTTGCCTCCATAGATAACATTTTTTGTCTCCACATATACTTCAACGCACCACTCTCCTTTTTTCCTTCATCAATTCTATGATTAACCTCATCCTTCATAAACCCATCCGCTGACACGTCAACTCCCCAAATATCTGATAAAATTCACTTCTTCCCCCTACCCTCCTCTCCAATTTGATATTCAATTTTTCTTTAAATCATTTGATACCCTCCTCACCTTATTTATAGGTGGGGTTGTAAAAGAAGTAAATGCTAGGGTGTTGGGGAGTGGGGTGGAATAAATTATGGAGAATCAAGTACAAAATGGGAGTTGAGAAAGTTACTTTTTGCTGATGATACTGTGCTTATGGGAGATTCTAAAGAAAAGTTTCAAAGGTTAGTGGATGAGTTTGGGAGGGTGTTGTAAAGGTAGAAAGTTGAGAGTGAACATGGATAAGATTAAGGTAATGAGAGTATCAAATTTTTTTTTTTTTTTTTTTTTTTCAACAAGTTGGTCATCTCCCACCGAGGCAGGGTGACCCAAAAAAAAGAAAGAAAATCCCCAAAAAGAAAATACTTTCATCATCATTCAACACTTTCACCACACTCACACATTATCACTGCTTTTGCAGAGGTGCTCAGAATACAACAGTTTAGAAGCATATACGTATAGAGATAACACAACATATCCCTCCAAACTGCCAATATCCCAAACCCCTCCTTTAAAGTGCAGGCATTGTACTTCCCATTTCCAGGACTCAAGTCCGACTATATGAAAATAACCGGTTTCCCTGAATCCCTTCACTAAATATTACCCTGCTCACACTCCAACAGATCGTCAGGTCCCAAGTATCATTCGTCTCCATTCACTCCTATCTAACACGCTCATGCACGCTTGCTGGAAGTCCAAGCCCCTCACCCACAAAACCTCCTCTTTACCCCCTCTTTCCAACCCTTTCGAGGACGACCCCTACCCCTCTTTCCTTCCCTATAGATTTATATGCTTTCCATGTCATTCTACTTGATCCATTCTCTCTAAATGACCAAACCACCTCAACAACCCCTCTTCTGCCCTCTGACTAATGATTTTATTAACTCCACACCTTCTCCTAATTTCCACACTCCGAATTTTCTGCATAATATTTACACCACACATTGCCCTTAGACAGGACATCTCCACTGCCTCCAACCGTCTCCTCGCTGCTGCATTTACCACCCAAGCTTCACATCCATATAAGAGTGTTGGTACTACTATACTTTCATACATTCCCTTCTTTGCCTCCATAAATAACGTTTTTTGACTCCACATATACCTCAACGCACCACTCACCTTTTTTCCCTCATCAATTCTATGATTAACCTCATCCTTCATAAATCCATCCGCCGACACGTCAACTCCCAAGTATCTGAAAACATTCACTTCTTCCATACTCCTCCTCCCAATTTGATATCCAATTTTTCTTTATCTAAATCATTTGATACCCTCATCACCTTACTCTTTTCTATGTTCACTTTCAACTTTCTACCTTTACACACATTCTCAAACTCATCCACTAACCTTTGCAATTTTTCTTTAGAATCTCCCATAAGCACAGTATCATCAGCAAAAAGTAACTGTGTCAATTCCCATTTTGAATTTGATTCCCCATAATTTAATCCCACCCCTCTCCCGAACACCCTAGCATTTACTTCTTTTACAACCCCATCTAAAAATATATTAAACAACCATGGTGACATTACACATAAAAATTGGATATCACACTGGGGAGAAGGAGAATGGAAGAAGTGAATGTTTTCAGATATTTGGGAGTTGACTTGTCAGCAGATGGGTTTTATGAAAGATGTGGGTTAACCGTATAATTGAAGAAAAAAAGGTGAGTGGTGTGTTGAGGTATCTGTGGAGACAAAAAATGTTATCCATGGAGGCAAAGAAGGCAATATACAAAAGTATAGTGGTAACAACACTCTTATATGAGTGTGAAGCTTGGGTTGCAAATGCTGCATCAAGGAGGCAGCTGGAGGCAGTGGGGATGTCCTGTTTAAGGGCAATGTGTGGTGTAAATATTATGCAGAGTACTCGGAGTGTGGAAATTAGGAGGAGGTGTGGAGTTAATAAAGGTATTAGTCAGAGGGCTGAAGAGGGGTTGTTGAGGTGGTTTGGTCATTTAGAGAGAATGGATCAAAGTAGAATGACTTTGGGGAGCGTATAAATCTGTAGGGGAAGGAAGGCGGGGTAGGGGTCGTCCTCGAAAAGGTTTGAGGGAGGGGTGTAAAGGAGGTTTTGTGGGTGAGGAGCTTGGATTTCCAGCAAGCATGTGTGAGCAGTAATTAGATATTAGTGAATGGAGACGAACGGTTTTTGGGACCTGACAAGCTGTTGGAGTATGAATAGGGTAATATTAGTGAAGGGATTCAGGGAAAACCAGTTTACAGTGGTACCTCGGGATACGAACTTATTTCGTTCCAGAAGGCTGTTCGAGTGCTGATTCCAAACGAATTTGCTGCCCTAAGGAATAATGTAAATTAGATTAATCTGTTTCTGACCCCCAAAAAATGCACTTACAAAAGCATTTACACTTACATAATTGTTCGCGTTTTGAGCTGTTCATATCCCGAGGTACCACCGTATTTTTTATATAGCCTAACTTGAGTACTGGAAATGGGAAGTACAGTGCCTGCACTTCAAAGGAGGAGTTTGTAATATTGGCAGTTTAGAGGGGTATGTTATATATGCTTCTAAACTGTTGTATCTGCACACCTCTGCAAAACAGTGATTGTGTGAGTGAGGCGAAAGTGTCGAATGATGATGAAAGTATTTTCTTTTTGGGGATTCTTTCTTTTTGGGTCACCCTGCCTCGGTGGGAGACGGCCAACTTGTTGAAAAAAAAAATGTACAGTACAAAGTCTGATGATAAATACTACCGATAGTATTAGATGGCAGCTTAAATATTTTAAACTATTCATATAAATTATTTTGTATTCAATGGCTGTCACCGATCAGGGTGACTGCTTCATACAGTCATGAATGGTTGATTATAACCTTTAATGGCTATATGAAAGCAAACACTTCATCATAATCCTTTATATCTAAGAAGTAACACCATATTAAAAGTATAAGAAAGTGTTTTAATTAATTGCTTAGGTATTTTTGGAGGTGAGAAAATGAATAGCTTTGAAAAAATTTAATTTAGAGGTGCTAATCTTTAGGTAAAATTTGTTAAAAAAATTGGAGAAACATTTGCATGCCTTTTTCCATTTGCTCCTTTTATGTGCTATTACATCACTTGTCAAAGGCTTTTGCAAAGTCTCTTTATAGAGTATCATGATATATTGGGATGCACTCTAGAAATTTCTGTACAGTAGAATCCCTGTATCCACAGATTTGGTTTCTGCGTTTCAATTATCCACGGTTTACTGTGGCCTGAAAATAACCCTCAATTTTGCTTAACGACACCAAAGACAAAAGTAGTGATGATGGCAGTTCTTCAAAACCTAAAAGAAGCCATAAAGTGTTTTCCATTAGTGAATAAGTGCTAATTCTCTATTTATTGTGCATAAATTTTCAAACTTTATCATAGGTATATGTGTGTGGTAAACGAGACGTGACTTATATTAGTACATATATAGGGTTTGCTACTATCCCCGTGGGGGCTCACTGCTGTATTGTAAATTCATGATAGTACTAATGTTGTTAGGTTTTTGACTGATCTCTCTCTCTCTCTCTCTCTCTTTTCTGAAGGCACGTGTTTCACTTAAAAGGATGAACAAATTTATGAATGCGGATGAGCTGGATCCCAATAGTGTTTCAAGAGACTGTAGAGAGAGTAAGTTATGCCTTTTTTTATATTTGCATTAGTGATTGTTGATAAACCTAGAGAGGCTTAGTTGTCATTACTGATAACTATGCTGATAATATATAAAACAATATATGTACTATAATTGAATTTTTTCAGATAAGCCAATTGTAATTGAGAATGGAACCTTTGCATGGGGTCATGGGGAAGATGATAGTCAAGCAGTGGTTAAGGGCATCAATATGAGTATTTCCGAGGGCTCCTTGGTCGCTGTGGTTGGGAGTGTTGGAGCAGGCAAATCCTCCCTCTGCTCAGCCATTCTTGGAGAGATGGAAAAAAAGTCTGGAAGAGTCAATGTTAAGGTAAAATATAAGAGCACACTTGTTGCAGAGACTCATAAAATGAACCACAGTTTTACCTGAAAAAAAATTCAGTGTAAGGGAGGTAAGAAAATGAATGATTTAGATACTAAATGGAAGACAGTTACCCTTGACAAAGCTTTTTGAAGTTAGTTGATTGGAAGTTAAGGGCTAGGCTAAAAGCTGAAGCTCACTATTTGACCCCTCAAACTCAGTAGGCAGCTAATGGAATTACATGCAGATATATGTATATGTATTATAACTTACAATTTTTTTTTATAAAATTGTATCAATAATATGCTTGTATCTTTCAGGGCCACATTGCATTTGTGCCTCAACAAGCCTGGATCCAAAATGCCACATTGGAGAATAATATACTTTTCATGATGGCAAAGAAAAAGGATCACTACAATGCATGTATTAATGCATGTGCATTACAGTCAGATTTGGAAATGCTTCCTGGAGGTGATCAAACTGAAATAGGGGAGAAAGTAAGCTTTTCTTTTCTTTATTTGTTACAGCATGTGTGTGAAATAGCACAAGAAATAGATTGTTCCCTCCCGACCTCTGCATTGACAGGGCTATGGTTAACCCTTTGACTGTCGCGGCCGTATATATACGTTTGCGAGGTACCGTGTTTGACGTATATATACTCATAAATTCTAGTGGCTTCAAATCAGGCAGGAGAAAGCTAGTAGGCCCACATGTGAGAGAATGGGTCTGTGTGGTCAGTGTGCACCACATAAAAAAAATCCTGGAGCACGCAGTGCATAATGAGAAAAAAAAAACTCCGACCGTTTTTTTTAATTAAAATGCCGACTTTGTGGTCTATTTTCGTATAGTATTTGTGGTTGTATTCTCGTTTTCTTGGTCTCATTTGATAGAATGGAAACTATATTATAGAAATGGAGGTGATTTTGATTAATTTTACTATAAAAAGAACCTGGAAATGGAGCACAAAGTACAGGAAATGTTTGATTTTTGCCGATGTTCAAAAGTATACAAATGATGCCATTGTCCAATAAATGTCCAAATAGCCATTCTAATACGCAGTCATGAATGGGTTGATGTAATTTTTACAATTATTACAGTACTGCAGTAGTCTGCATAATAGTAAATCTTCTATTTTTTGTTTGAATAAAATTTCAAAATAAAAAGCAAGAGTAATATCACAGGGACCTGGAGACATGACTGATGAACAAAGAAAATGTTATTTAGAGCCAGGAATGTCTGCATTGTTCATTCTGGACCTTATTTTGAAATTGTCGTATTTTTTAATTTCGTGAAATTGGCCAAATTGCAAATTTCTGACCATGTTATTGGGTAGTTGAAATCGGTAAATGGGCAGTTTCTTGTACTCAATCGATAGAAAAAATAGAGTTCTGAAGAAATAGTTATGAGTTTGGTTGACTGAATAACGAATTAGCCGAAAATAGGGCTCAAAGTGGGCGAAATTGCCGATTTTTAAATATCGCCGAAGTCGCTAACTTCGCGAGAGCGTAATTCCGTCAGTTTTCCATCAAATTTCGTTTTTTTGGTGTCTTTACAATCGGGAAAAGATTCTCTATCATTTCATAAGAAAAAATAATTTTTTTTTTTTTCGAAAATTTTGCGACACCAGAAGCAACTTCAGGATTTGGCCCTTCGACAGTCAAAGGGTTAATATCTATATGTACACCACTGAATTAATGACGAGAGATGGATTGTAGAGTTATATTATTGTTCACTGCCATGAATATCATTAAGAATTTCAAGGTGCAAAACTCGTAAAGTATCCAAACTTTATAATTTAACCCTTTGACTGTCGAAGGGCCAAATCCTGAAGTGTCTCCTGGTGTCGCAAAATATTCGAAAAAAAAAAAATTATTTTTTCTTATGAAAATGTTAAGATTATTTTTCTGATTGTTTTAGTCCCAAAAAAAATTTTTTCCCATCAGTACTTACCGAGATATAGAGTCCTGAAGTTTGCTGAAATTGATCTGCTGGCGGCAACAGCGGCGACTGCCGCTCACCCGGTAAACTTTTATTTACTTGTATTCGATGGTTTCTTGTTTTTTTCACTATTTTATTTTTCACATAACTTTTGTGGCCTGTGAGACCAAATTATTGTGCAACGTTCAAATACTATACACTCGTTGAATGTAACACAATTATAGCAAAAACACTCGTATCATTATAATGTTGCTAAAACTTGTTTACACAAACAAACAATGTAAACAAATGTTTATTACGATTGCTTTATAATATATATACATATGTACAATCACTGGACACTTTATTAGAAGTGCTGCAGCTTGTGGAATTCTTTGAAACATGGGTATAAGCACAATGGTGTCTTACACTCCTCACACATAAAACGAGTGTCTCTGCGTTTTTGTGGGCGTTTTGTGGTATGTCCACAGACAAAACACCTCTTCTGAGCATTTTTCTTGGCAGTAGTAGCAGCAGTGGTATGGGGTAGTGATCACCAGGCCTCAGACGAGACGACATGTGTTGATAATTCGTGGGCGCTGGTCTATTGCAGGTGTTGTTTCTTGGTACTTGAATATTATTTGTCTGATGACTGACAAACAAAATTCACCATATTTGGGTTTGTTCTTGGTCTTCAACTTATACATATTATAAGCATTCAGCATGGAAATGTCAAGAAGATGGAAAAACAGTTTTTATGTACCACTTATAACTCTTGCGAACACAGTCAGCAAACCCAATCTGCATATCACATTTGTCCACTAAGCGCATATTGAGGTTGTAATCCATCACAGCTGCAGGTTTTACAATAGGTTCATTGGTCTCTCTATTCTGCTTGCCAGTCTCTACCATTTCGTGTCAGTGAACTGATGTCAGCAGTGTGACATCACGTTTGTCATGCCACCGAAATGCCATGATGTCATTGGCAGCAAACACCTGCACTTCACCTCTACGACTGCCAGCTTCGAACCTAGGCATATGTTTACGATTTCTACGCACTGTGCCACACACATCTGTCATGTTCACTCGCAAGAAATCACTGAGTATAGGGCTTGTGTACCAGTTTGTCAGTATATAAAATATGCCCCTTACCAAGATATGGCTCCATCATTGTTCTAACCACATCACCAGAGATACCCAGTAACTTCCTGGTATTTTCCATTGTTTTACCGCCAGTGTACACAATTATATCCAAAACCAGACCAGTTTTGCAATCACACAGAACAAATAACTTTATACCAAAGCGTTTCCTCTTGCTTGGTATATACTGTTTGAATGAGAGTCTTCCTTTGAACAAAATCAAAGACTCGTCAATAACAAGCTTCCTGAAGGGATAAAAATACATAGAGCACTTTTGTTTCAGGTACATAAACACACGTCTGATCTTATATAACCTGTCGCTTCTGTCAGGCCTGGTTTTGTCTGAAAAGTGTAACATACGTAACAGTAACACAAATCTATTCACTGGTATAATGTCACTGAAAGCAGGGGTTGAAATCAGGCGGTCTGTCGCCCAGTATGTGCTGACACTATGCTTATACACATGTGGCATAAGCATTATTGTGGCAAAGAACAGATACATCTCTGCCACAGTTGTGTCCTTCCACTGGTGTAGGCGTGATCTTGGTGAAAGCATAGTGTTTGCCATGGTGTACTCATAGTATGTATTGCTTTCCCTGACAATAATGTCCATCAGGGGTTCATCGAAGAACAACTGAAAGCATTCCAGTTCAGTGGGATTGTTCCCAAGTGTACATGATGGCCGTATTCCACTTTGTCCTTCATCAAAGTCATGGGGATTGGGAACAAACTCGTCATCTTGATGCCAATCCCAGATGCGGTCAGCTGGTGCGTTCTGGATATTGTAATGTCGTTGTGGTTGTGCAGGTTGTGGTTGTGGTTGTGAGAGTGTGGGGTCGGCCGAGGCGGGTTGTAGTTGTGCAGAGTCAGCAGCGCGGGCACTAGCGTGGCCCGCTGCTGGTGTCACATGACTCATGGCACCGTCACTATCACCACCACCGCCTGCTGCCTCACTCACATCATTTATACCCATCGTAACAATATCGTCATCTTCACTATCAGGACGTGGTGTAGGGCCACGGGATGTGCTCCGAGATGTACTCCTTCCTCTTGGAAGAGCATATGGCACACTACCAGACCGCATACGACGTCATATATACTGCCGCTTCACTGGGGAATATTCACCCTCACTGTCACAACTAGAAGTGCTTTCAATAACCTTGAAATCACTATCACTATCACTTGCACTGCTCACATCTGAGTCTTGTACACGGGCAAATAGTTTCCTCTTTCGTCCTGGTACAGGTGAACATGAACGAGCCGGCCCAGCACCAGAGGTGGATAGTTGTGGGTCATCTGGGTTTTCATCACTAATTATGTTATCCTGGGTAATTTTCTCGGTCCAAAACCCCCTTCAAAACCAGGGAATTCACTTTCACTGACACTATCATCACTGTTTGAGCTATCACTTGGGAACAAAAGACCTCCAATCCGCCGAGGAGTGAGGAACTTCTTACCACGAGGCATGGTGAAAATGGACTACCAAGATGGCGTTCCCACAATGCACCGCTGAGTCCCAGATTTTTTTCACAGGGTGCACACCGACCACTGAGACCCATTCTCTCTCGTGTAGGCCTACCAGCCCTCTCCCGCTTGATTTGAAGCCGCTAGAATTTATGCGTATAGATACGTCAAACACGGTATCTCCCATGACGTACATATACGACCGCGACAGTCAAAGGGTTAAAGATTGCTTTCATTTATAGATATTGTTCATATATAACTTATGACTATAAACTTAACTTTTTTCTTGTTTCATTATGTTTTAGAGAACATCTTGACTCAAATAAGTTATCCTTTATCACTAGCAGCACTTTTAGTGGGGCAGCTGATAGGTCAGTGGTAGTGTCTTTGGCTCACGACAGAAAGACCTTGGTTAAACTCCAGGCAGGTGACAACATAAGGGCAAAGCTTCTTACAACTATTGGCTGTGTTCAGCTAAAGTTAAAATAGACACTTGAGTGCTAGTACATTGTTGTGAGGCACATCCTGGAAAAGAAGGCAGGGATTACTTAATATACCCTAAATAGGACTTAGTTTTGAAATAAGCCGAGGCAGGATAACAAAATTGTATTCTGAAGTAAATATTGGCTTAAGCTTGTGTCCTTATTAGTCAGAAAAATCATGATTGTTACAGACATGCATGTATGTAAGCAGACAAGCAGTTGTAAAGTCACATAAAAATTTTTATTAAGTTTCTTGAAAGTCAAACCTGCTTGAGAGTTGCCCTCCATTTCCTGAATGGAAAACAAAAGAGGGGAGGCCTGGTGAATGTCCACTAGTAATTGGAGACACTTTAAATGTTTCAGGCTGGAGAGAATGTTCTGGAGATTTTGACTGTTGATACGGTAGTTATACATTAGACTGGAGCAATATTACATTACTCTAATTCATATATCAACCTAAAATTTGCTTAAATGAGGTTCAGTTAAGTTTGTGC